AACCTTTGCTGCTGTAATTTTTTTGGATCAGACGCGCGCGTAGTTTGTTTTGTATAGCGTTGGTTTTATTCCGTGTCTCCGTGATTCTCTTACTAAAGTTTGTTCAAATATACTCTCGTCAAGGGCATCATGTTATATATTGGTTCGCTAATATAATCCGATAAGGTGTGATCACGAGTCCACGACACCCGTAGTTTCGCGTAATTGGTACACCACTGGTGGCGACTGATTTGATACTCTTCGTATCGTTTTTCACGAAACAGCAGCAGCACCGCGGTTCCAGTGAGAAAAAATTGCTGCGATATTGTTTTTACTGACTGGTGATTGAGTCGTTTCGACGTGTACATTCGCCTTACTACTTAATCCTCGCTGATTCCGTGGCTCTAACTATCTCTCACAGATTCATGGGGGAGGTATCCACTTGTACGACATCTTTCGTATGTTTTATTTAAAGCTTCCGTCACATAAGTACGCTTTTGAAAATAGGATTGGCCAAGGCAACTGTAGTATGTAGATATACAGAGCTAGTTCTGAGCGCACATCTCATGCTGTGATGTCACCGAGTATTTGTGTACTGTCTAAATACGCTGTCGGCCGACTGTCCGTGTTACGCGCGCGCGCGCGCGCGCGCGCGTGTGTGTGTGTGTGTGTGTGTGTGTGTGTGTGTGTTGTGTTGTGTAGTGTCCGTGTGTGTGCGTGCGCAGCGCGTGTTGATAGGGCCTGCTGCTCATTTTTCTACTCACTTGCATTCTTTATTCGAGCATCTTGTCTGCACGCGGGCGGTCATCTTTACATTTTGCCTTCCGCGGTCATCGGGAACACGGTACTCGGGAAATACCGATACAGCGGGGAAAGAGCACCATGTTAATTGCGTGTAGGCGGGGTGGCAGGCTCTAGCCGCCGTAGTCAGCCGTAGTAGCGTAGATAGCCGTAGTAGTCTAGCCCGCAGGCAGGCCGCGGGTGGGGACCCTCGCTACACGGGTGAGAGCTAGTGGTAGGCTTCTGGACATGTTGTGTTCATAACAATTATTGCAAATGCCGCGCAAAGAACCTGTAAACATGATTTGGGAAGACTTCGTGACAAGACTAACTGCAAGCGCAATAGTCCAATTAGTATCGCTAGGTCAGGCATTAAAAGACAATACTTGTCTGGCGGGAGATCAAAACCGTACCATCTATGCTCACAGACACTCCGGGCCATTTAATCAATGAAAGTGTCAATGACAACTGTCAGCTCACCACAAAAAAACAGACACCAAATCGAGATGAGTGAGTGAAGACAGTCCGTTTTAATTCGAGGCCAAACCAAACTCGACACCCCCCCTGGGTCGCGCATTAATCTCAAAAAACGAACAGAGCTCCAGATAGGAGTGGAGATTACTCCCCATATATATACCTCTTGAAGACTGTATACAGGAAGTTACCTCTTTATGTGAAAACACGCTCAAATATATCAAGAGCTGAATAATACCTAGAGTGATACAAAGGCGAAGACAACGGAGAAAATAGTGCTATTTCCCGTACATGGATTATGTCATACTTGTTGCGACGTCTAGAATAATATTAATGGTATTGGCATTAAAGCAGAAATTTCGTTGCTGCTCTAAGACAAGACAACCTCCCTAGGCTGAGATTAGTTCGGCCTGTAAACTATCCGCCTTCCTCAACAGCGCTATAACCCCGACTAATTTGATAGTTCTCTAGCGGCCAATAAAAATCAAATTATACAATAATAATACATAATAATACAATAATATAAGATAGATAAATCATATAGTATGTTCATAGCAGGAAATTTTGCATTAAAGAAGTATGTCATGAAATGTCCTTGTAAATACCCGCAACCAACGACGCAGTGGTAACACCACAAGACGGTCGATTATGGGTTCATCTGCGTGTCTATATAGATATGCTATATCAACTTGCCAAAACCTAACAATTTGCATAATTTCCTTTTTAATATCCAAAACTCGCTAGCCCTCTATTCATTTGACATGCCAAAAAATAGAGGCAAAATCCGTTTGAAATCTGAACTGACTAATGCAATCTCCCATTTTTGCCGTGGCTTCCACAACGGTTTTAGTATGTAACTGTCTCGTTCTCTTGTAGGTGCGACTATGCATTATAAGTCCATGACACGCGTGGAGTTCTTTTGCAAACTAAAGAGGACAGCAACGACCACCGCTAACTTCCCTGAAGTTAGACTGTAAATTAGTCTGTATATTATTGTGCTCTTGAACGTATTCAGGAAGAGCCATCGCAGAACGATCCGAACCCTGCATGGACTCTAATTGATCAGCTGGCACTAACATGCAGACCACATACTCCCCTATCGTCCTGCTTACTAGTTACAGTGGCACCCACTTCCGATTGTATTTTACACCCACTAATTCGACGTTCCGTAAGCCTAATCGAATGGAAACATCATTTTTGCTAAGATAGAATAGCGCACTATCAACTGTCGTCACCGGCTGCATCAAGTATTGCACACTACATTCGCTCTAGTTAACTAGACGCACAAGTTGGTATGACGCAGCTCTTACCTGTAAATCTATTTGCGGCTTAGGCGCGTAAGGATCAAACGAATATAATAGAGGCTAAGTGTCGATCTTAATATAGAATTATGAGACTCCTTGACATGCACAAACACACTATACTATTTAAGCGGAAACGAGTAAATATGTTGTCTTCTTTTAAGAACGTCAGCGTAAATACAACGTCAAATAAAACTGGAATATACGATGGCGTTTATACACGAAGATATCATAAAGGTTGGCGAGTTATTCCACCACGCCGACAATGATTTCATTATTAGACGGCTAAATTCACGACGTCAATCACACGGACTCTAGATGGTCCACGGCACACGCACCGCCAAGGGGGTACCAACTGGTTCAGCTGGCCGCTATGCGTGATGGGCCTCGCTGCACTAGTAGCGACGTCACAAATCTTAATTGTCGCGCAGATCTCTCATTGAGGCGGCAAACGAGCAAGCAACAGTGGGCTACCGAAACTAGCGCAAGTGAACAAATGGCAATAACAAGATACCTTCCAGTCACCCGTTCCACCACACGCCCACGAGCGCCGGTAAAGTTGAAGGCACATTATGCGTACATAATGCCGATGCACATCGGAACACCGCAAAAGAGCTCCCAAAGCAAGGTCATTGAGGTGTGAACGCGGTATGGCAACCACAGCCGCAATAGGCCACCATACATACCAGACCATACGCACGCGAGATGCCTACAACGCAAGACACACACTCACTTATACGCCGCACTCATGTGCGTCACAAATCTAGGCACACGCTGCGCGCGCGCACGACACCACGTATACGCGCGCCAACACGCGCACCTCAGGCACGCACGGCGGCGCACGGTAAGACAGACGCGCGCACACGTGGCACCTTGCGCTACTTAGCATCATTAACATCGCGTGTATTATCTTTGGTTACATGCCCCCACTGCACAGAGCCAAGCGGCGCGAGAGAGATCGAGCGTGGCAGAGAATCAACTAGCTCACTATCAAGTCAACAACGACAGTTTCTAGCTCTGGCATCCCCGATGCATGCAACTGCGCCACCATAAAAATACAGTGACGAAAAATTCTCCTCAGCGCACAAACGTCATAACAAGAAGAAATGAGTCGCGCTGTTGATGTTCGCCCATCTAAGGCATTTTTTCACTTTGCAGTAGCCTATGGCATATACGTCGTTGTCTCAAAACAAGGGCTTCAGCAAATAGTTGAGAGCAATAGTAAAAGCTATAAACGACTAAAATTTTCTTGTACTTGAGTCATTGATGCGTCTTTTCAATAAACAAAGGCGAGTTGTACCCACTTAACTAGTGGCTATGCGCTAATCAGCTGAAGGTCAGTTGGGTGTTTACTGGATCCGTAGGGAAAGCGATCAGCATTTAACAGGCGCTGCCTTGTGTGATTTAGTTATCCCGTCCGATGACTCCGTGCGCGATCAAATGTCGATTGCATTATTCTTACCAGGATCCAGCAGTGACCCGAGTGTGAATACCTTTCCTTAAGGTTTATGAAGTTTCATTAATAAAAATTATCCCGCTGAAACGTAATTACGTGTTATAGCAACCATGTAAGCCTAAATCATAAACTGTTCAAAGACACCACTTCATTAAGAAAATAGGCCCCAGGTTACTCGTGTTTTTGAAACGAAGATAAGAGGTTACTCGGCCCATTCGCTTTCCGCCCAGTATTAATTATTTAGGACCACTTATTAGGAAATAGCAGGGTTACTCGTGTTTTATTAAACGAGATAGAGTTACTCGGCCCATTCGCTTTCCGCCCAGTATTAATTATTTAGTTATTATTTACTATGTGATCATTTTCACATTTACGAGGATCCCGGCTTCGCGAAACATCAATCTATTAACAACTTTCGTATCACGAGGCATTTTCTCATTTTTAAATTATTGATTACATATAAGCAGCTTTTTCGCTGCGTTTTTTTCGCGCGATGTTGAGAAATGATTAGCGCTGTGCCCATTAGTAAGATTTGCATGGATTAACTAAATCGTTAACGGTGATGCTGTGGGAAACACCTTATAGACAAGAATAGAAGCTCGTAATGTGTTTAACAAGAACATGGGTAAGCTACAGGATACAAGAAATCATCACGGAAATCAATGTAATTCCGTTTAAAATTTTATGCAGTGTATGGAATGCGTTCCGATATTAGGTTGCTAATTAGAACCTCTTTTCTCTTTTCAATAGTTTGGACGAGTCCCGATTTAGCCTTGAGCTGCTTTTCGGGCGGTTTTGCGCGTTATTGCTACTGTCTAAGCGGCTATGGGGATAAGTCATGTACGACATGTGCGCTCAACGTGCGCACGCCTCTCCCAGCCGCCACCGCCGCGCCTCGGCACCCCCCTGCCTCCCTCCCCTCCAGCAGCACGCGCACCAGCATCCACGCAGTCAGTGGCTCGCCACGCGCCGACGCACGAAGTCCGCTCACCCCTGTTACAGACGCCGCGTGGGGCGCGAGCGAAACGCACGCCACGTGCCGCTCTCGCTCTCTCTAGCTCTCTCTCTCTCTCTCTCTCTCTCGCTCTCTCTCTGCGAATGACAACATCGCCATGCCTTCAGTTTGAGTGTGAACGTGTGTGCGTGTGCGTGCGTTCGTGCGTGCGGGCGATCGATCCTGTGCGCAAGCCGTTGTGTACGGTATATAGCGCCAGCTTTTTCCGCTACGTGAGAAACCGACGTCAGAGACGAAAACTCCGCCAATGATGGGCGGATTGAGAGAACGCTGTAATCGCAATTAACGTCGTCAGGGTAATTTGTCTGCCGTGTCGGGTGGCGTGGCTTTGCTGCCGACGACGAAAATGTAGACGCTCGTGTATATTCGTGCATATAAGGAGATCATAGCGTTACTGACCACCTTACAGGATTCCTAAATGGCTTCAAAGAAGGCAAAGATGTCGTGTACGAAGGTGTCGAAGCAGCTCTCTGTCGAGAGTGACACGGAGGTGAGTAGAGTCATCATGATCACTCGCCACTGTCGGCTCGGCGCAAGCTCGATCAAAGACGCGTTAATACCAACTCACTCTCGTTGTGCACTATGCATTAGTCATGACACTGTGGGTGTCTTTGCAATAAGAGGCAGCAACGAACACCTACCTTCCCTGAAGTTGATTTAAATTAGTCTGTATTTATTGTGCTCTTGAACGTATTTCGGGAAGAGCCATGCAGCGATCGAACCCTGCATGGACTCTAATTGATCGCTGGCACTAAATGCAGACCACATACTCCCCTTCGTGCCGCTTACTAGTTACAGTGCACCCATTCCGTTGTATTTTAACCCACTATTCGACGGACGTAAGCCTATAAGGAAATCTTTGCTAAGATGAGATACGACTTTCACTGTTCGTCACCGCTGCCATCACGTATTGCACACTATCATTCGTCTAGTTAACTAACCACAAGTTGTATGACCGCTCTTACCTGTATCTATTGCGCTTAGGCGCGGTAGGATCAAACGAATATAAATAGACTAAGTGTCGATCTTAATATGAATTATGAGATCTTTGACATGCACAAACACATATACTTTAAGCGGAAACGTAAATATGTTGTCTTTTTTAAGAACGCAGCGTAAATACAGACGTAATAAAACTGAATATAAGACTGCGTTTATACAGAGATATCATAAAGGTTGCGATTTTCCCCGACAATGATTTCATTATTGCGGCTAATTCACGACGTCAATAAGGACTCTAAATGGTCCACCAAGCACCGCCAAGGGGGTCACTGGTTGCAGCTGCGCTATGCGTGGATGGATCCTGACTAGTGAGCGACGTCACAAATCTAATTGTCGCATCTCTCATTGCCGCAAACGGCAATCAACAGTGCTACCGAAATGCGCAAGGTTGAAAATGGCATACAAATATGTCCAGTCACGTCCACACACGCACGAGCGCGTAAAGTGAGCAATTATGCGTACAAATGCATGCACATGTACACGCACGAGCTCGCAAAGCAGGTAATTGAGTGTACGCGGTATGCAACCACAGCTCGCACCCACATACATACAGACGCATACGCACGCGCAGATGCCTACACGCAAGCACACACTCACTTATACACGCGCGCACTCATGTGCGCACAAATCTAGGCACACGTGCGCGCGCGCACACACCACGTATACGCGCGCACACGCGCACGCAGGCACGCACGCAGGCACGCACGTACACGCGGCGCACACGTGCACCCTTGCGCTAGTTAGCATCATTAACATCGTGTATTTCTTTGGTTATCATGCCCCATGCACAGAGCAGTCTGCTTCATGTAATATCGACGTCGCAGGAGCAATCAACAGCTCACTTAGTCAACAACGACAGTTTCTAGCTCGGCCATCCGATGCTCAAATGCACATAAAAATATCATGACGAAAAATTTTCTCACGCACAACGTCATAACAAGAAGAAATGATCGCGCTGTTATGTTCGCCCCACTAAGCATTTTTACTTGGCATAAGGCTATGGCGATATAGTCGTGTCTCAAACAAGGGCTTCAGCAATAGTTGAGCATGTAAAAGCTATAAACGACTAAATTTTCTGTATTTGAGTCATTGATGATCTTTTCAATAACAAAGGCGATTGTACCACTTAACTAGTGGCTATGGCTAATCACTGAATCAGTTGGTGTTTAATGACACGTAGGAAGCGTCACATTTTAACGGCGCTGGCCTTGTGTGATTTTAGTTATCCCGTTCGATATCGTGCGCGATCAAATGTCATTGCATTATTCTTACCAGGATCCAGCAGGACCCGAGTGTGAATACCTTTCCTTAAGGTTTATGAAGGTTTCATTAATAATTATCCGCTGTAAACGTAATCGTTAACAATCCATTGTAGCCTAATTCATAAACTTTCAAAGAGACCACTTATTAGAAAATAGCAGGGTTACTCGTGTTTTTTGAAACGAGATAGAGTTACTCGGCCCATTCGCTTTCCGCCCAGTATTAATTATTTAGGACCACTTATTAGGAAATAGCAGGGTTACTCGTGTTTTATTAAACAGATAGGAGTTACGTCAGCCCATCGCTTTCCGCCCAGTTAATTATTATTCTAGTTAATTATTTAGCTATGCGATGCATCACTTTTCACACTTACAGAGGATTCCGGTTTCGCGGAAACATCAATCTATTAACACCTTTCGCTATCAACGAGCGCATGTTTCTCATTTTTAAATTATTGATTACATATAAGGCAGCTTTTCGCTGCGTTTTTGCGCGCGATGTTGAGAAAATGATTAGCGCTGTGCCCATTAGTAAGATTTGCATGGATTAACTAAATCGTTAACGGTGATGCTGTGGGAAACACCTTATAGACAAGAATAGAAGCTCGTAATGTGTTTAACAAGAACATGGCGTAAGCTACAGGAAACAGAGAAATCAACACGGAAATCAACTGTAATTCCGTTTAAAATTTATGCAGTAGTATGGAATGCGTTCGCGATACTATGGTTGCTTAATTAGAACCTCTTTTCATCTTTTCCCATAGCTGGACGAAGTCCGACAAAGCCTTTGAGCTGCTTTTCGGGGCGTTTTGCGCGTTATTGCTACTAGTCTCAAGGCGGCTATGGAGATAAGTTAGTGTACGACATGTGCCATCAACGTGCGTACGCCTCCACCCAGCCGCCGACCGCCTGCGCCCAACGTGGCTGCACCGCGTCCCTTCTCCATCCCGCTCCAAGGCAGCCGCGCACCAGAAGCATGATGGAGGCACACCAGCAGCAGGGCTCGCACACGCCGCCGAACGCACAGAAGTCCGCTCACCCTGTTACGACGCAGCGTGGGCCGAGCGCAACGCACGCACCGCCTCCGCTTCTCGCTCTCTCTAGCTCCGCTCTCCATCTCTCTCTGACTCTCTCTCTCTCCTGGCGACATGACAACATCGCCATGCCTTCCAGTTTGAGTGCTGAACGTGTGTGTGTGTGCGTGCGGTTCGCTCGGCGTGCGGGCGATCGATCCTGTGCGCAAGCCGGTTGTCCGCTACGGTATAATAGGCGCAGCTTTTTCCCGTACGTGAGAAACCGACGTCAGAGGACGAAAACTCCACACGCGTCCCAAACCGATATGAGCGGATTGGAGAGAAAACCGCCTGTAATCGCAATTAACGTGTCAGGTAGGAATGTGTCTGCCGTGTCGGGTGCGTGGCTTTGCTCCGACGACGACAAAATGTAGACGTCGTGTATTTCTGCATACTAAGGAGTATCATAGCGTGTCTGAAGCACCTTGACAGGAATTCCCTAAATGGCTTCAAGAAAGGCAAATGAGGTTGTCGTGTGCCTACGAAGGTGTCGAAGCAGGCCTCCTCATGTCGAGAGAGCTGACAACCGGAGGTGAGTAGAGTCACATCAATGACACTACCGCGCACTGGTCCGGGGCGCCCCCCCCCCCCCTGGTTTTCGCGCAAACGCTCGATCAAGCACGACACACACAACAACAAACACACACAACACACACACACGCACACACACCCACACACAACACACAGCGAGCTCGCACACAACACGCACAGCACAACGCGCCTACCACAACACACACACACACATCACGAGCACACCGACACACAACCACACTCCTCTCTCTCTCTATCCATCTATATATATATATCTCTCTCGCTCTCTCTCCGTCTCCTCTCCTCTCTCATCCTCTCTCTCGCTCCTCATGTCTCGGTGCTCGCTTGATCTCTCTGCGCGCGCGCGGAGCGGTCCTCTCCTCTTCTCGCCTCAGCTCTCCGTCCCGACGGCAGCGGGGCCGGGGCGCTCCTCCTCCGTGCACGGTCCGGCTGTCGGAGGCCGCGAGCTGGAGGCGGCCTGCGCGTGCATCTACTCAGTCGTACGCAGCCCGCGCTGCCTCCTTCCGCTGAACCCCGTCCCACACACACACACGCCGCCGCCTGCCCTCCTCCCTCCCTCTGGTGCGCCGCTCTCCTCGCCTCCTCCACCGTGCGTTAACGTCTGTTAGGCCGTAGCCCGCCCGCTTCTGCTCATACTCGCCTTATTTCTTCCCCTCTTCTCCCCTCTCGCTCTCTCCCTCATTTTCTCTTCCCAACGGTGGTATATATTCTCTAGGATTACTTCTCTCTCATCCACGTTTCCTCACCCGTCGTTCCGCCGGGCCTCCTCTGCACAGGACGCGCGCCTATGCGAGCGCCGCTTCTCAGTTCACCCCTAGCGTCTGTCTCATCAGCACTCACTACAACACACGAAGATCTGTTCGCTCACTGACCCCGACTGTTTGGGAACTGCAGCTTATTCAGTGGTCGGAGAGGGTCCTGATCACGGTATTTTCCACCAGCAGTGAAGCAACATCCTTTGTTCCCGCGGAGCCCACGTGTAATCGAAATAAGCTGCCGGTCATGAGTAGATCCAGGTTTGACTGAAATCTTATGGATATTTGCCGAAACCTGCTGTGTATTGTGTATGCCGACAACCCCGCGATATTGCTTAGCACCACTTTACACACTATAGTATGGCTGGTAATTGATAACCCTCGCACAGAACATCGTTTGAGGAATGGAGCCCATAATATACGATGTAAGATTTACATACTAGTGACCTGAACCCTTCAATATTGTCCTATTTTGCAATGAAGGCAGGAGAATCGGGATTTCAAGATAACTTTAAAATTAACCTTGATGTAGGATATGATGTAAGTTCTCTCCCAGCATTGAGTAGCGGTGTTTAATCGGTCTGTCTAATCCGTCCGCCACTATTGGCCGCGTCGTCTACTGAGTATAAAATAACGACATCCTCTACAGAACGTTGAGCAGGATACATACACAGGCTAGATGATTATAACAAACCAGATGGCTAGTGGCGAAAGATATAATGGTACGAGGAGATCTCTAGCCAACTATCTACAAGTACAACAGTTAACGAAACAACCACGATTTGCACTTGGCGTCGATTCTGATCTACACCCAAAGACGTGTTGTGGGTGTGTGTTGTGTGTGCTGGC